TTTTTGTTTTACTTTGTTTTTTTTTCTTTTTACTTTTTGCTTATTTCAGTCTATGTTTGTGTTTTTTTTTTCTTCCCACGTCAATTTGTTTCTCTAGTGCTCTTTTTTTTTTTTTGGGGGGTTGTTGCCATGTAGCCGTCTGCTTCAAATCTGTTTCTTGTCACTTCCCAAGTGCACCTTAAAGGGTGTACGACATTTATGTATGGACGCGTATATACGCACACATCACGCATATACGCGCGTTTTGTTGTTGTTGTCGTAGTTGTTTTTGTGTGTACTTCTACACGTTTCAGTTGCATTTTTTTTTGTTTTTGTTTGAGTGTTTTTGTGTGCATTTATTTATTTTTTGGTTTTTGCTCTCTTTTTTGTTTCCTTTGGTGCTCCCTTCAGTGTTTTGGTTTCTGCCGTTGTGTTATGCATATTTGTGTCTTTCACTGCCTCTTCATGCGTGTTCACCACTTTTTCGTTGCGCCGGCGTTCACCTCCCGCACCCGCTGTTATTATTATTATTATTTTAGCGTGAGCGAGGGAGGGGGAAAGGGTTGCGGCAACCAGGGAAAGAGAAGAGGGGGGAGACAAGCCCAGCGAGACCCGCAATTTTATTGCGTTTCTGCATCTTGTTTCCACGCGGAACAGGATTTGTTACGGTTGCTTTGTCGAAAGCCGTCTGCGTGCGCGGGAGAGAGGGACAATCATAATATTCACCACCGCAGCGGCCTTCCCAACCGATATTTGGCAGGCAACGAACAAAACAAGAGGAATTACATAAGAAGAGGACAGGCAGACACGCCAGAGGCAAGACTAGACTGTCACATAAAGAAAGGACCACAACGTCCGCAGAGCACGTACAATATTTCGAACGAGTTCTTTATGAAAATTACGGTAAAAGGATCCAAATTAGAGGAATGCAGCCAAAAACAAACATTAATCAAAAATATCCGAAACATTTTAGAAGACGAACTGAAAGACCCTTTTTGTGATAAGACCGATAAATACTCTTACCACAACACGCGCGAAATCCCTGGTGATTAGACGCTATAACTCAGCCCTTCGCACTTATCCATTAACCTTAACGCATTGCCATCTGCCGCATGCTGTCTGCGGACTGCTTTGCCTGTCCCTTTTCATTGTTTGGAAGAGCCTGCTGGCTGTGCACAAAGAGAGTTTAAGAAAAATAAGAGAAAGAGGAGGAAGCATGTCCAACGATGCTGCTGCTGTGGCTGTTGCTTCGCCCGTGAAGAAGGCCTCACCCCGGAAGGCTTCCCCGAAGAAGTCGGCTGCGAAGAAGACCGTTAAGAGGACTGCTCCAAGGAAGGTGACCAAGAAGCCAGCCACCAAGAAGCCAGCTACCAAGAATCCAGCCACCAAGAAGCCAGCTACCAAGAAGCCAGCTACCAAGAAGCCATCTGCAAAGAAACCGGCCACCAAGAAGGCGGCGGCGAAGAAGCCCGTGGCGAAGAAGGCGGCCAGGAAGGCTCCCAGGAAGGCAGTGAAGAAGGCGCCAAAGAAGAAGTAGAGTCTTTCCTTTTTTGTCCAGCGGTATCGCCCTGCGGGTCGTCTCTCCGGTGCACCTGACAGCCGAAGTGGTGCTCTTCTGACTT